TGCTTGCACCGGTGTCGACATCTCTCGTGATCTAAGGAATAATATTGTCAGGGTCTGAATTATTTCACATTTTATGTATATTTTGATGTACACGGAGAATTAACAAACAAAAACATTTTGATTCAAATTCTACGTGCTTGTTATAGTATAAAATAATATTACCAGAGCCTATAATAATGTTTTGACCTATATTTCCATAACGGTACGGGGTCACATTACCACGTACCCTGACTCCACGAGTGGAATCTAAACGGTGTGTAATAGGACCAACCCCGATATCGGCGACTCACTTGATAATATTGTGATTTAATTTTCTGAAAGTTATGTTTTACTCTGAATGATTTTTGATGAAATTTATAACGATTAACGTTGAAGTTTTCATAATTTTAGTTTTTGTAACACATTTTTAACTTGATAACTTACTGTTTCATAATTTTTCTTAACTGTAACTTGACAAAGGCGTCCATCAAAATTCATATTTTATGTACACTCGTCAGAAATGTACTTTGAACGGTCCTGGTAACCTTTCATGTAAAAACGGGAAACCTTGAACTTTGAATATAGCAGAGAAAACAAAAGTGAACAGAGTAAAGGACAAGGTTCGTACGTGTGCTCACACGACGTCTGAAAACAGTCTTTTGGGCAAAATCTTAAGTAAAATGTTGGTACAATACATATAGTTACGACTAGCAAGTAAATGATTCCTCACAGCCATTACGTAATTTGAAATTTTATAGATACAACTTTTTGTATAACACGACGAGCTCCTTGTGAAAGAGCTCGTCCAGGGAAGTTCCTTACCTATTTCTGCCTACAAGCGGTAATGTGTACGTTACTGCGTTTCGGTTATGAAGAGTAAGAGTGCTGGCGAAATTACAGTCACATGGGATTTGTCAACTTATGTCTCAGGGAGACAGGCGCTTTTGCAGTGCCCTTTAGATCTTGGCGATTTAAAGCTCTGAGTGGCATTGCGACTGTTATGGAGAGGCGTGTCGCTTACCACCGGCGTCACTTGGTATCATAAAAAAATATACATAAAGAATTAATAATTTTTCCCGGGATCATGATGTATCAAAATCTACAGAAAATGTTAAATTACCTCGAAAATTGTATAGATACTAAATATCTATAAAAATTCTCTCTTTTGTTCTAAAATTACGAGTCTTTCTACCCGTATAGTTTAGAAATAATCTGATTTAACGGGAAACTGACAAGAATCCACCGTAAATATTAACTTCGTAATAATATCGACTGAATGTCAATGAATTTTATTAGTTAATACAATAAGAAAAGTAGGTCAAACTTTGATTATTATGTAACTCGCTCAAAGACTGGTAAAATTTGGATTATAGAACTACACAGAGTGCCTGTGACATCGCCGCCAAAACTATTAATTTATTCACTGCCACAAAAAAATCGATTCTGAAAATTTGTGAACAAAACTTAATCTCCAAATAATTATTTGTATGACATAAAGTTTTTTATTATGATTTAAAATACATGGTAAGGTAAAAGAGGATGGCAAAAGCTGACGCAATAGTTATAAAATCAACAAAGAGCCGTTCATGGATTTGGCTAGTATAATTGAATATTTACCTACCTAATACTTTATATTGGTTGTTTTATAGTACACATAAAACATTAAAGCTATAAAATACCCAATCAAATAAACAGTAGTGACATAAAGTAAAAAAATTTAACACAATGTGATAAAAATGTTTATGCAATATTATTAACTGCCTCCGTGGCCGAACGGTTACCATTGCCACGCAGAAGTCCCAGGTACGATTCCCGGGCTGGGAGAAATACTTGTATGACCTACATTTATTTCTCTCGTGAGTTTGGGTGTAATTTGTGATTGTCCATGTTTGTGTCCATGGCACCCGCGACACATGGTTTCCCTAGTGCGGGGCTATGTTGAGTGTGTGCGTGTAAAAAAATGAATTAAATTTTAAAATAAATAAATTAAATAAATGAAAATTAGTACAGGAACGTTTCGACAAGAGGCCTCTTGCCAATGTCAATGTCACATTGAGATTGAGACAGTGTGACCATTTGTGGCAGATTTAATTTTTATACATTTTCGTTGCAGCAGAACATGTTATATGTTGCAGAGTTTAGCAGATTTGGGAATATTCAGCAAGTTCATTATTATTTTTGGGAACAAACTGAAACTTTTTGTTTTCCGTTACTACGAACAAACATCTGAAGTGAAATACAGAACAATGTTACAATATAACCTATAACTACTTTATAACCCCAGCTACTACAGGCTGTACTCAATTAACTTTTTTGATGCTTTGATAATGAATCACAAGTATTGATAGGTCTCTTTAATGGATGTCGTCAAAAACACTGGGTCACAAAATACACGGGATGTCGTCATTCTTCTTTTTGGATTTTTTACCAGAATAAAACCCTTTAACTTAGGTTACTATACGGGTGTATAGTCTGAATATTTAAACTAGTCTATACAGTCTATAAATTACGTTAAGTAATGTAGCATATTGTGCATAAATGTGCGACGTTCGAATACATAACAATAACTTTGTATATGCGATGCTCTTCTTATTTAGTGCTCTTGTAGTATTTGCAATCTAATCGAATAAACATATTCGTAAATAAACTTTAGATGGTAATTATGTACTAAATATTGTCCAAAAACAAGTCAACTTTGTCTACGATGTAGACCTTGTGGCCTAGTCGTAACAAAAGTAAAAAAGAGCTCGTTTCACATAAATTTATTAAAAGTAGAAAATAAAAGGAAAAGACTGTTGCACTGATTTTTCGCACAATAAAATGTTTCACTGTCTTGTTTTTCTTTTTTAGGTTATCTTGATACCTTTTTTAATATTTTGTTCGGGCGTCAATGTGGCCTGTATGTATTTACGTATCTCAATTCAACTTGTCTAAGAGCCCTGTAGGTGTCCTTGTAGAGGTTTATTATTTCTTGAAGAAACTGTTACTGTATATTAACGTATATGCAATGTGTACAAACAATTTTCTTCACATTTTTGTGTTTCTTCGTCATAAAATGCACATGCACGGCAGACATTTGAACAGTATAAATTTACCTGAGTAATGCACATCCTCTCGATGCGAGAATTTTGATGTGAGTGATAACTACTACTTCCACAATATTTACGTTGATTCATTCAACGTAACGATAGTGGAAGGAAAAGGAATTCCAGAACGATTAAAAAGTTTAAAAGTAATCAGTAAAGAGGGCGGTAAAAAGGTGGATTGTAGAAGGAGGTCAGCATTGCCACATCCATATCCAAATACAGCAATGACGTTGTATTTGGATACTACCTTGCACGAAACTTGTAGATTATTTTCAAATTGTTGGTAAGAATATATAAACAGCTTTAAAATGATGTGTTACAATGTATTTCGCGGTTCTCCATCTAAAGATTTCAAGCAGAATTTTATTTCCCACATACCGAGTCACAAACCGAAACCGATGACATAGTTTCGGCATAAAGCCGAGGATGTAAGCCAACATAAACACATTTACTGACGCTTATATCCGCTCTGGACCGTAAACTCCTCGGACTGTCCATAAAAATTTGCCATAAACCTGTATCTTGACGATGTACTCGTTTTGGTCTAGCGCTGCACTTTTACGATGTATGCTCTATGTCGATATGACGCTCTAAAGTTTGTTGAAAATTAACTGAAATTAGATTTTATTTTTGTGTCGAAATTCTATTCGGTAACGCTTGTAATTTAATACGTGTAAAATACATTTTATTTTACGTGTGATTTTCGCGAATAGTGTTTCTACGTGCATTACAATTCAAAATTCGTTGTGTGGTACAATAAAGTGTATACATACATAAAACATTCAGATTGGCTCATTGCCCTTTTCTTTGCAAAATAATATTCAAGAAATTTAAAAAACCGTCTGGGATACCCAATGATATGCAGCTATGTTGCCCAACGTATAAATAAACAAGAAAACAACAAGAAAACAAAAACAATCTTAGGCATCCTGTCATAGAACTCCAATTTAGTCCTTGCTTAATCCTTGAACGCTTTTATTTGTATTTTTATACCTTGCTTGAATGCACTAAATAAATAATTTAGCATTTTAAAAATTACTAAGTCTTTACCATCTGTTTTCTATAAACGAAGCGCTATGGCACTGTTACAGTGGTTATTAAACTGTCTAGTTTTATACATTTAGCTTTCTTTTATCACCCTACCACATTACTAGTTCTCGGATAACAATTGATTTTGCTGAATAAAACTTCAATTTTATATAAAACATTTTATTCGTTCTCCTTCTGCCAGTTTAACAGTTAAGTAGACATCAACAATGTTTATTATTACACTATAGAGAAGAAATGTATTGTGCGACTCTGAATATCTTTAGAGAGATGTTCTTGTAACAGTCTTATTAATATATAGTACGTAGAAGAAGAAAATTTTGATTAGTTACAGCATTGACGTTCGTTCTATTACTTTCATTTATACGATTTTTTTTTTATTACAAACGGAAGAGATAATAAAAATCACAAGAGCTCACTAAAAGAGTGCTATGACAATTTTTATAGACGACATTTTTATTTTATTACGAAATCTAGATTAGTACAATGAGTAAATAACGAAGACAAGTAAATGATGCTAAAATAAGGCCCAGTATTATATAAGTCATTATCAGTATTTATACGACTATACAAAAAATATAAAACTTCCTAATACATAAATACATCCATGTACTAACCTCAGCACATTTAATGTCCCTTATGTATTTTGAGAAATACATTCCGGTACGTCTATCTCCCTATACGGATGATAGAGGTTACAATGTTTGCGTCCTATGCATATTACTAACATACTTTCTCTCTTTACATTCATATATTCTCTTCCATAGAATCTTTTTTTGAGAGAACACGATATAAAAATTAGACCTGAATCTACTGGTCCACATAATACTTACATTTATTTAGATTCTAATTCTTAACTACAAAGAACTAAGGGTGTCTTTTACACTTCGATATACACTGAGGTCTTTGTTCCGGAGAAAGTTCCAAATGAACCACATTCACTTCTTTATCAAAAGTCACTCTCGGAAGTCATCGTGTCAACGTCACTTCAGTATCACTCGAACTCCTTGAGCTCTCTTTTATCACGTCTAGTTCTCTATTCGATAAGGAAGAATGCCTAGAAAACTTATGAGCAGACCCGTAATCACTCTTTTCTTCAGAATTCTCACGTGAGATTCCATTATATTCTTTGATTTCGTCTGAATCATCTTCTGTAATGTCATTCACTTCCACTTCCAACAAATTATCATTTTCTTTTATACCGTAACTGTTGAAGTTTCTTTCGTGACTCAAACTTCTTATCCTATCGAGATTTTGCTCTAAAGTTTGCATATCGTCGTCCACGCCTGGAGAATCATCAAACTTCCATTTTAAATTAGAGTTGAAGTGTTCAACTCCTGGATACATCCCTATACTATTGCTTCTATGCCCGAAGACCGGACAGTTTCGGAACTCTCACAATTCTGGATGTCTTCCATTACAAATTTTGCCGAAATTGCCTTCATCCAAGCTTAAATTTGATCTTGAACGGCCGCATTCTAGACCCGGATTCGGCCTAAATAAGCAAAAATCAGAATTTTTCAATCTACAATGTTTTGAGCATGATTCTATCTGGAAAGCAGACCTATCAACATTTCGATAGTCTGTTGGGCCATAACCATCAAAGTACCTTACGTTTTGTTTACACGCTGGATTGGAACAACCTTTAAAAGACCCTGTGCAGTGGGGATCCCTGTGACATGCCTTTTGTAAAGCGTGCAAGGACGTTGACGATACAGTACGTTCCAAAATTTCACCCCAATATTTTTCACCGAGCCCTTCAAACTCGCCCTTTGAATGTAATCCATCAGATGTAGCAGGTGATCCACAGCAACCTGTTGGTTTTTCGTAGCTCGGGAATGACTTCGTACTTCGACAGCAAAACTGTGAAAACATTTACAGTATAGGGGCATGGATAAATGACATGGATATTTGTACATTTTGTTTGATTAAAGAATAACAAGACTTTTGTGTCATCGTTCTGTGAATATGTATCAGTCAGTCACTCTCGATTTTTTTTAAATTGAACTTTAATATGTCTTATATATACTTACGTAATATTGCAGAAGTTCATTACTGATTCTTCGAAAGTGGCTGTTTAGTAGCCAATAGAGAAATGGATTCCAAAAACTGTTGCTTAGCGCCAGCCAAGTGACGATAAAGTCTAACGTTGGAGGCACCTATTGAAAAATATTATTTTTAATTTGAATATGTTGCGCAAGCAATTTATTAATCCTGTGATATTCCATCTAGTAAAGGAAAGATATACTTATATAGAAATAAGTAAAGCGACAAATCAATTGCGCGCAGGTGGCCGGCCGATGTTCGGAGTATTTTATTCAAAGTGAAATCGCAGAAAAGAATTTGAAAGTATTTTCGTTTGAATAGGGCATTTTAGGGAAACTGGATACATACCTTGCATCCAGTACAAGCTGCGACTACTTCTTGAATGGTAGCTGGGGTGACCATCACTATAAATCCAAGGGACATGGCTGCCATTGTACGTGACGTGCTTACGCTGTGGGGCCTCACGGGTGCTTGAAGCTGTATACAGAATACCGAATACACACTAAACAAAAACAAGACAACTTTATGTTCTTTAAATTACTTATTAAGTACTAATAAGCTCACTGCGAATAAACATAACAAAGAAATTGTTAGAATAAAATTTTTCCAAAACCGTTTCGAAATTTACGAAAGTTCATAAAATATAATTGCATGGGTATTGGATGATCACGACGTGCTGTTTGTTTGGTTCCCACCATCCTAATTTTTTAGCATTGTTTGATAACATAAATATATATATATCTAATATTATCGAAAAGATGAATGTAAAATGTTCGATATAATAAGTATGAAATCAAAATTAAAGAAAAGTTGGAAAGTACGTAAGTTAAGTTTCTCATGAAAGCTTCAGAAACTATATATAAAGATGCATACGTGTAGAAACTATTGTTCTTTTAAACGGCTGAAATCCCTTCACGTGAAACTTGGGAAAAGTTATATATAAAATGGACAATTCTACGTCGTAAGGTTGTTTGATAGGGTTGTTTTAAACAAGTGAACATTAACGAGTTAGTAGTAGATACTGGATTTTTATCATTTTTAAAATATTTTTATAGCAAAATAACGGGTATATTTAACAGGTCACACTAATAAGAACTGAACCAACGTTGAAAATGTATCAATGTAAAACTTACAACTGCTTCGTGCTCAATATGAGTGACTTTACTACATGGAGTTGGCACACCATTTGGCCTGACAGGCTCTTCACTGCATTTGCTTCGGGCTTTGCTGACGTGAAAACCAGACCCGTAACAGTACATCAAAGCCATTGTCGTCGGAAAGTAATAAGCGCAGCAGGCAAGGATCCTACAAAATTGCAATATTATAAGATGAACAACTATACTTCGTTCTGCCATTTTAAACAAAAAGTAAACAAACAAGACACTGACCCGACTATAGACGGTTTAGTGATGGCCAAGTGTAATGCCAACTACAAATCGGTTAATTAATTGAATGAACCGATTTGTTGAATTGAATCATACTAGCGGTTTTTCTTACCTAACCTATTTAAGCATATTTAAAATTTCCAAAATCTTAATTTTAAATCCTTCTTTAAATCCTTACACTTAGCTACTCGTTCGATTGCGATTGAAATATTCGATTTACTAATCGATTACAAAAACTTTAATTGAATGAACCGAATGTTTTTTTTTGTCATACAGCACTATGCAACCATAGACATGTCATAGTTGTATAGTTGAAAAATAACCTCACTTTTGCACTACCATTTTTAAATACGATTTTACGATGCTATTTAAATAAATATTGTTGGAAAAAGTAGTGAGATATGAAGTCGAAATCTTCGAAATATACTTGAAAGAGTTACTTATGCGATTTATTGAGTGATTGCTTCGGAATTTTAACCAAACAGTTTTGTTTACTTTTTGTTCAAAATGGATTGGAACAGACTATAGAACAACTAATACAATTAAAAAAATATACATTTAAGTAGCACTCAAATTAAGAAAGATTACATTGAATTGAGTACTGTTAGATCAGTAGTAGTGTAGTAGGTACCAAGCTTAAATAACCAAAAGGTATATACTGTGAAAGGTTTGGCATTTACCTAAAAGCAACTCGACTATGAAAAACGTCACAAGCCATCAAGCCAGTCGAGTTGAAATAGTATCCCGACCGTGGTAGCACCATAACAGCAAACAGCGATACTGATAGTATCCAAGTTACGCTTATTACCAATACGCAACCCTGAAATGAGATAACTGATCACAAGAAATATAGAAGGCAAAAACATCCGCTTCGGAATACTAAGGCCGCCATAAAAAAACAGTAACTTTCGTTTTGCGTATTACAGATACTCAGGAATATGAAATATCTACTGTGACAATGAAGTGAGTAATGTTGCAAAACTTTAGCTTGACGAGCTTGAGAGTTTACAAAACCTCCTGAGTACAACATTGGAATCAGTTATTAAGCTGCCATTACAATCGTTGTAAACATATTAACATTGAAGAGATTATTGTTTTTTCATAGATTTTCATTTCACTAACTTAAACTTAACAAAGAGTAAGTATAAGAGTAAGTAAGTATATCTAAGTGTACCTATACAATCTTGTTTTTATGTTAAACTCTGTTTTAGATTCCTATATCCAGAGTTCTTAAGCGGCTCAAAGGAGGAAGAGAAAGGTGTTAAGTAAAGCCGCATTCTTTGAACTACGCAACCTTGGCCTTTAAATCGAAAACAACTCTTGATGAAAACAGATTAACGGATAAACAGACTAAATAAATAAATAGGACGGTTAAGAATATAACGTTATTCAAATAGGCGACGAATGAACTTACCTTTTTACTCGAATGCTTATGATACGTGTCTGGATGTAACAAATACAAATATCTGTCTATCGCCATACAGACTAATATAACCGCACTTTGTTGACTCACAGCGCCTCTTAATAATGCCTGTAATATAAAAAAAATTAACAACAATAATATTTGGAAATTTAATTAAACAGAATAACAGTGACAATTTTCTAAGGGGTCTAAATGTCCTTGATAGCACAAGAGGGAATTTCCCAAAAGCGGGAATTACGAGTCAATGGGTCGAAGGGCGGATGGCATAAGTTACAAAGCCGAAACTTTAGCTCCCGCTGAGTTTGTGCTCGGTCACTGTAAACCATTAGCTGATACCGCATTAAGCCAAGTAACCATAGAACTTTTAGCAATTTTATTGTTTGCAGGACGCTCCCTCCGTCAAGCGCTTACAATACTCTTTTAACCAAATTGTTCTCGCTTCCTTAAATACCGTTTCATCACTTTCATTGTTAAAACAAGATGTTTCAGATGCTTTTTCATTAAGAAACGTTTTAAATACTTTTCACTCTCATCCGTAATCCTCAGAGTAATCTCCAAACAATTACAAATTTCAACCTTAATAACGTAATGTGATGAAAAAATTTTGTTCTCCTGACTTATCCTTACCATCCGATTACCTTTTCAACTTTCCCTCTCCAATTGAGAACTTTTTCCCTGAGAAGCAACTTTGCTCATTTTCTTTTCATCTCTTCTTTAAATAAAGTTTTGGAGAGACCCCGTTGCTCCGCCTAGCTTCTAACTGGATTAAACAACTCCCTTGAAATTTTGATGGAAAATTAATTTTGCTGTTCGTGACCCTTCTTGTTTACCAAGGTATTTGGTGTGTTCAATTTTTGGCTTATCTTCGAAAAAAAAAAATTAAAATTTACATACCTGAATTTGACAAAAAATTTCGCCGTAAGGCCAACACTTGTAGAGTGCGGGAAATAAGGCCACCGGGGCTATCAAGATACCAGTAAAGAGGTCATTCAATGCAAGCGAAGTAAGAAGGTATCTCGGCTGAAAAAAAAAACTTTTGACTACGCACAATGTCAACATTATATACATCAAATAATAATTAATAATGCAGATATCATGATCCCATTTTACATGTCAAACATTACCTGATTATCTATGTACTTAACGTATCTTCTATTATTTAAAACGCAAATCAAAACTAAGTTGCAGAAAACGATTGCCATAGACAAGGCAAATATGAAAAAAGCTTTAATTATATCCCCTGGAGCCGGGAACGTATTAGGCCAGCCTTTTCCGTTGACCCAGCAAGAGCTGTTAGAAAGATGCGGCGCTATAAGCAAGGCGCCCTTGGTCGAGTCGAACATAGTCGGCGCCTGCACACAGCAGCGCACTCTTCTCTTGAATAAGGCATTTAGACCATAAGCTCTCCAACACTATCTTTAGTTCCTTTAATTCCTTATCAACACTCCAAGTTTCACTAGTTCTACTAATCCTTTTATTTCCCGTATCATCTTAATTATATATATTTCAAGGTATCTTTCCCATTACTTCTTAAGGCTGCTCGAGCGCCTTTTTAGGTTCGTCGTGCTAAATCTGAAACAAACGTCAAGTTGTGAATATTAGGAACTAAATATACATATTGTATTATCTTGTTTCTATGCTATACTTTCTTTTGTACTCTTATTAACCTAATTCAATTTCACTCATAAAAGGATAATAAAACAACATAAATCCCATACATATTACTCATTCGCTGGCTGCCTAGTCCCTAAAGAGGTCATAAAATATTCTTGTTGCGTTGAAAAGGAAAAGCTAAGGACAAAAAATGGCCTTAAGTCATGGATACTGAATCAATTTCGCTCTCTCCGTGGCCGGGATTAGCGTGATAAATCGTTTTGTCCGTCCGGAGCACAACTTTAATATTTCAAAAAATGCTACATCCAAATCAGGACAAATAGCTACCCAAGTGTTCAAATAGGTTCTCGTTTGTTTAGGAATAAGAATAATTTGAGAGGTTCGATGAAAACTGGGATGAAATTTAAACAGTTATCATTCGAGTACAACGTTTCAAACGTTTACTGATGAAATAACACAGATTTTACACATGGAAATGTTATTACATCCGAAGTTGTTATAGCTACTTTTGCTTTTTAACGTGCAAAACGAATGTTGAAATGTGGAATATACCATAAAATAATAAGAAGATAAAACAATGGTGTGACGCTATAATATATTGAAAGGTATTTCCTCAAGATATTTCTACGTTGGAACTTTCTTCGATTGGTGCCGAAGCCGCTGTCAATTTCCTGTAGGAAATAGCGTGCCGTGATTCCGCGCCGAGGATTAAATAGGTTGTTAACTCTTAAACTTTAATCGAACGCTTCGTTGTACATAATTTAATATCATTGCTAATTTAGGCATCTATTGGTTTGGATTTTTAATCGGTTTTACTGAACTGGTTTAACGAAACAAAAATCGGTTTCACGGGACCTGAGAAATGGAAAATCCGCTTATTTTGGCATAGGTTCCAGTAACTGGATCTTAGACTGAGAACCAGTTCCAGCAACATAACCTCATGATGAATCGAAATCGTTTTACTCCCGTTATCCATTTACATCAATAATTAACTATGTGTATATCATGTGCTCTTCTTGCAACGCAGTCAGATTTGGTTTTGAAAATTTTCTTGTTCTATCCCAAGGAGCACACTTCATATGCCGTAAAACTGTTATATCTATAAACAGTCTAAATATGGTTGTTAATAAAGTACCTTATTTTTAATTTTACAAAGAAACATTCAAATTTACGCTACATTACGTTTCACAAATTATTTTATTGAATGAATTTTTATTAAATTAAATTTATTATTAATTAATAATAAAAATTAGAATAAGTTAAAACATATTGATTAGTACTGCAGTCTTATGTCTGTTTATAACTGCCTCTGCGGCCGAACGGTTACCATGCCGGACTGCCACGCAGGGGTCCCAGGTTCGATTTCCGGGCCGGGAGAAATATTTGTATGGCCTAAATTTATTTCTCTCGTGAGTTTGGGTGTAATTTGTGGTTGTCTGTGTATATGTCCATGGCACCCGCAACCCAGGGTTTCCCTAGTGCGGGGCTATGTTGAGTGTGTGCGTTATTATTATTATTATTATTTGGGATTTTTCATCAGAGGAAATACTGGATCCCAAACTGGTGGTACGGAGAAACCATCTCCCCGTTGAAATTAGGATGTTTTTTTTAATTTCAATGGCCTCTCGCAACATCCTGGGTAGATAAATAAATAATAAATAAATAACGCACACACTCAACATAGCCCCGCACTAGGGAAACCCTGCATCGCGGGTGCCATGGACGCACACATAGACCACCACAAACTACACCCAAACTCACGAGAGAAATAAATGTAGGCCATATAAATATTTTTCCCAACCCGGGAATCGAACCTGGGACCTCTGCGTGGCAGTCCGTTAGGCACAGTAACCCTTCAGCCACAAAGGCAGTAAACGGACTTCTTTTGCAAGGACCTGGGGTTTGTCAAACTTCATTGAATGTGTAGGTTTATCCATGACTTGCTCGCAGATTGCAGACTTTCTTATGCGACGGTGTTTGACATCAGCTATATATTCTTTGACGCGGGTACAAATACTTCGCTTCGTTTGTCCAATATAAGAGAGACCGCACTCACAGTTAAGCTTGTAAACTCCTGTATCCTGTTAATTTATTTATGTATACAATAAAACTGAGAAATAGAGATACATTTAAACATTGTTAGACATAGAACTTTGAAACAAAATTGTTAGCTGCTTCATGAACAACATTTCACGAGAAAGAAGAGGCAAACAAAATAAAGTAAGTTTTTTATCCAACCGTTTGTGTGAAGGTCAGATAACTCTAGATTGCTGTGACGCCACAGATGTCGTATCTGTGGCGTCACACAGATTCCTAAACTTTAGTGGGCTATCTGAAAAAAAAATGAAAAAGATAATAGAAGCGTCCGTGATTGACCAAGTACCGCTTATATTTTAACCAATCAGTAGTCAGTAGAACGTTTGAGTAGCGTCATATATGATATTGTTTTTAAATAGAATTCTTTTTCGCCAATTGGTTACGCCTTCGTACCTGTTATGTAATATTTTCAGATATTATTTAATAGAATCATTTGAATTTTAATATTTTCATAAATATAGTGACGGTATTCTGGAACACGTGACGCGTAAAGGAGACTCTTTTATTTAGCAAAAATTCAACGTCCTTTTTTGGAAATTCTTCAGTTCGGTTTATACTTTGAGCGCTGGAGGAGGGCCCGAGTTCATTTGCCGGTATGACTAAATTGAGAAATGAACTTTTCAAAATTCGTTCTGATCTGGGTGTTCTAGCAAGTACGCCAGAGTGAATTCCGTTGCTCTGGTACTCTTAGTACTGGGAATCCCCAGGCAATTAGTGTTGTTGTTTGACACATTATTATTATTGTAATAAAATATTTCCGAACTTTTCCTTTTTAAGTTACGTAGCATTTTTTCACAAAAACACTTATGCACTCAGATAAAATAGCAAAGAAGTAGAGGTCAAAATTGACTGCCTCGGAAAAATGATTCTTATAATCACCACGAATTATCCATTAATGTTACGAAATGTGGTTTCAATAACAGTAAGGTCTAGCAAATAAGCCAAACTGAAATTAGATCAAAGTCTGATCGAAAAAATCGATAAGCGATAAAATAGTTGTGGACCAGTGACCTTCAATAGTTCTCCCTATGGGACGTTGTGTAATGGTTTATGGCGTCAATGCGTCTGCGTCGTTTGACCTTTGGAAGCAAAAAGAAAACTACTGAAGAAACCTTTGTTAAAAGTTTTAAAACATTTAATTTAACTACGTTATAAACCTATTATACATCCCATTGCTGTACATGACTCGCCTCAAACAGTGATAGTTTTTCAAAGATTGTGAACCTTTTTTGACATGCACAAAAAATAAATAAATTGTTATTTATGAAGATACTAAACAGCAACTACATACATAGTTCGCAAAATTAGTAAGCTTAAGTGGCAGTGGACCGGACATGTCTACAGGAGGATGGTCGATGGAGCAGATTTGTTCTAGAATGCCGATTACGTCAAGGAAAACGTAATGTAGGAAGCCCTAAGGCAAGATGGCCGGACAACCTGAGGAAGGTGGCTGACAGCGACTGGATGCGGGCGGCACCGGATCGGGAGAGTTGGCGTGCTCGGGGGAGGCTATGATCAGCAGTGGATGCGTACAAGCTGATGGTGATAAGTATTTATAAGAAAAAAATACGAAGAAATAGCTTTCTAGGGCTATGTCATTGAATAAAACAACAATAATTCTGAAATAGAATAAGAAATAAATGTTTTCTGGAAATAAATGTAGTGCCACAACACAAAAATATACAGAAAAATAGAATAAATGAGTAAACTAAAAACCAAGAAAAGAAAGAAAACCAACGAAACAAACATTTAAAATTATTAATAATCAACACAATTTCAAATATTATGCAAAAGATCCATTCAGCTAATGCCATACGCGAGATTAGGCTGTGACGCAGGTTTCCAGTGGACCATTACCTACGTATTATTCTTTTCCTGTATGTCTGGTACACCCTGGAAAACAATCGGCGAGTCGATCGTCGATTGGCAAATGCTTTCACTACGATGGCAAACATGAGGTATTTATATTGTATGCCATCGATATGATAAGAAAGTAAAGAGTGAACCGTATAAATGTGATATTTAATACTACTAAATATGTCACATATTTTAATAATAAACCATTGAAAATGTCAAAACCGTTATTTAAAACCATATTCTCATTATCACATTACGCGTGTGAAACGTTAACAATATCATGCATATTCAAAGATGTCAATATCAAAATTATGTGTAATGTATGAATATTGAGTATTTATAAAACATTGTTGCAAAATCAGAGCGAATAAAAAGAATAAGCCGATTAGTCTGACAATGATGATATGATATGAAAATAAATGCTAAGTAAGGACAAATGGGTTAATAGATTTAAAATCAAAATTGACATTTAACACAATTAAAAAGTAAACACAAATTGATAATACAAGCATGTCATGCATCGTTTTGTACATTTTCACAGCCCTATTACGGGAGGAGGCAGGCATTCCAATTTATTTTTTTTAAAGTCAAGTGACGGGACGAGCTAGTTGTGCGCCCGGTGGAAAGCAACACGCCTACCCATAACAGTTGCAGCGCCACTCAGCGCTTTAAATTGCAAAGATCCAGAGGGACACTGCCACTGCGCTCGTCATCCTGAGACATAAAGTTAACAAATCATATGTGCCTGTAATTTCACCAGCACGCTTACCCTTCA